GTTCCTGAATTCAAATAAACCATTTTGTATGTTATGGATTTAAAAGGGTTAACTAATTACAGGCTAAGATAAGGCCTTTTTTAGTGTTTTTAATTTTTAGTATTCACTACATACATTGTAGGTGATCGTTGGTCTCCAAACACCTAGGGACTTTTAAGTGTCTTAGCACCATCCTCAACGTGCCTGCTCTAGTCTGTGAGCTCACACTGCAGACACGAGCGCACTCCGGCGGCGCGTGGCATCTTCGGGCCATGCCAACCTGTTTAAAGCAGCAGCCTTGCAGGTGAATAAAAACTTAGGCCAGAAACCCAAACAAAGGAGGATTTCCTTAATTCCATCTTACGGGGAAAAGGTATCTATCCTCAAGGTCAGAGTGGGGGCTGGTGATTTTCGGGTCAGATTCGCAAGGCTGGCTTCAAGAGCACAAGGAGATAAAGTTACGAAAGGGCTGGACTACTGTAAAAGTTACAAATACGTCGTTAGACCAATAGATTTCTATAGTCAAGTTTTTGTCATGTAATTTATTAACTATTATAAAGACACAACTAAAGATATCAAGTATTTCTCTGGCTCTTGACAGGAAGACAAAATTCCTAGTTGACTAACCCTTGGCTGTCTAAAGAGTTGGCGTTTTTGTTCTGGGTGCTACTGCCAAACATTCTGGTACTTAGAGTTGGGATGCACAACTCCAACCACCGACTTTCCAGTGCAGCAGCCTGTGCGTGGCCACTGGCTGCGCGAGATCAGCGCTGAGCCCCGGGTTTAGTCCCTCATTTCAATAAGTACACCTACTGGGGGGGCTCTGCTCGCTGGGAGCGCAGTAGAGTCCTCTTCTGTCCCTTCCATTCACAGTTCTCTGGGAGAGTTCTATTTTTTTGTTTGTTTGTTTATGGTTTTTTTGGCATTTTATATCTTGTATTTATCCCTAAACATGTTTTGTACTTTTTTTTTTTAAGAAAAGGAATTTTTTTGTGTACATATAGATACTTGCATGATATATTGTAGTCAATGTTCGGTTCCTCAGAAAGGTCTTGCTGCTGTCCAGTGTTATGCACTACATCCATCAGAACTGTATTCAACACATTTCATCTGTAAATAAACGTGGGACATTTGGCCCTTGTGCTTCTGTGAGAGAGTTATTGATGTTGGGACTGTGACATCTTCCTGAAGCTTAGGAAGTGATTAATTTCAGGGACAGGCTACAGGATATTGCAGAAGAATGGCATATTCATTCTCATTAGCAATCATCTGTCACTTCTTGTTGATGCTATCAGGTCATCGATGTAACCCAAGGGCATGATTAAGTATTCCTCAACTTGATATTCAATTGCTGTTGTTACATTTATACTTGTATTGCTCTGAGTTGTATTCATAGCACTTTCATATGTTTCTGCATTGGAACTTTGCAATAAACCTGTGTGATGGGCTGCACAGGTCTGACTAGCCTAATTTCACAGTTGAGGAAGCTGAGCTCCGATTAAATTCTTTGCCTAAGCCCTCATAGCTGGTAAGTGGCTTTGCGTATTAGAACCCATATTCTTGCTCTAAATCTAGTCTCGCTCTGTGTTTATGTACATATTGGCAAATATTCATTTATTCAACAAATAAAAAGTATGTGCAAAACGTGCTACTAGAATTTTTGTTTGTGGCACTATGACTTTATAAGATAACCTGGAAATTGATCTACTCTTAAATACCTAAGAATGCCTGGTAATATGAAATTAGCATCTACTAAATGCCTAGTTGACCCTCCAAGAAAGTTTTAAAAAATGTGCTGAGGTCCAAAATGAAGAAATGAAACCCAGAGTAGAAAAAGATCACAGGATGCTGTCTCCCTAGGAGATTTGGATGGTTCAGCTGAAGAGAGAACTGGTGAACTAGAAGATAGATCATGAAGACATTACCAAGAATACAGCACAGAGATGAGATGAAATATATGAAAAAGATGAGAAGTCAAGAATGACCTAAGGAGAAGATCTAACAAGTTTAATAAGTGTTCCAGAGTGGGGAAACAGAATTGGGAAGGGACATTGTGGAAAATTCTTAGCTCCAACGAAACACATGAATTCTTCATTTAACCCCTTCCCCAACAATTTTTTTTGTTAAAAACGTTTCTTTTTCAGACTAATTTTTTTATTTTGGTTCTATATAGTATTTTTGATGCTGGTTATGAAAACAGTTTGTAACTCGTCTTCCTATAAACCATATTTTTTTACCATATTTTCTTAGTATACTCGTCGACGACTGAAAAAGAACATTTTGTGAAAACGAGTATACACGTTTCTGCCGGGGAAGGGGTTAAGGTGGTGAACACTGAGCAGTAAGCCACATTGGAACTTGTGAATTCTACCTGTTCTTCACTAATTGTAGATGCTGGGTGTGGTTGTAGGTGTGGGCATTTGAGAAACAGGATATAGTCGGACCAAAAGCAGAAACCTGGGCTTGCTTCATGAATCCTTAGGAAGCCCATTTCCTCTGGTGGGGCTGTGGTTGCTGAGGCTGACAGAGTAGCTCAAGTCAGGTTGCAAAAAGCCTTCAACAATGGACTAAGGCGTTTACTCCAATACAGATGAGTTCTTTGGACAAGAGAGCAACATAACCAGATTAACTAGAAACGGTGTTTAGGAAGGGTGGTGGGAGAGAGTGTATCAGGATACATTAGGTTATGCTACGGTTGCAACCTTAAATTTTTTTTGTTAATCTTCACTTGAGGATATTTTTCCATTGATTTCTAGAGTTGAAGGGAGGGGAAGAGAGAGAGAGAGAAAGAGAGAAACATTGATGTGAGAGAGACACACTGATTGTTTGCCTCCCGCACTGGGCATTGACCTGCAACCAAGGTATACTCCCTTGACCAGAATCGAACCGAGGACCCTTCAGTCCTTGGACTGACGCTCTATCCACTGAGCAAAACTGGCCAGGGCACAACCCTAAATCTTAACAAGATGTATTTCTTGCTCACATTCCATGTCCATTGTGGACTGATTGGAAACAGTGTTTCAAATCTGCTTTTCCCCTTATCTCACTGTCACAGAGGGAAAGGACAACTAAATCTTTGACCCCAAAGTGGCACGTGTCACTTTTCACAACTCATTGGCCCAAACCAGTCATACGGTCCCACAAAATCACAAGGAAGACAGGAAGTGCAATCCTACCAGGTGCCCAAAAGACAGAAAGCTGGAAATATTTGGACAGCATCAATGACCACGACAGGAATAAAGTTGAAATCAATGTAGCAGTGATGCTAACACACGTGGCATAAAGGCTTAACCTAGGGGTGGGAGTAGCCTTGGGAAGAGGCTGCAGTTGTAGGTAGCATTTCAGAAGTAGCATCAAGAGAGTTTCATGCTGTGGGAGACAGAAACAAAGAGGATAAGCCTGGAAGTCCAAAACTAGGTATTTTTAAAAAATCCTCAGTCAGGTACATGCTTAAAAGAGAAGGAGGGAGAGAGAGGAACATCTATCCGTTGTCTTCAGTACATGCCCTACCCAGGGATTGAGCCAGCAGCCCCAGGTATGTGCCTTGACCAGGGAATCAAACTGGCAACCTTTCTGTGCACAAGAGGATGCTCCACCAACTGAGCCACTCTGGCCAGGGCCCAGGTGATTTCTTAAATAGACTTTTAAGAGGTTTGCATTACTACTTAGATATGTGAAAGTCAAAGTTAGGGCTAGGTATGGTGAAGCTTGCACTTTAGGTATACATACAAGATACGTTTTTTGTTTGAATGTGTGGTTGTATGATTCTATCAATCATTAAGTAATGGTGCTGCAGTAAAGAAGGCCAGCAAAGTGATAAAGACTTCTGATGAGAAACAGGAAACTGTAGACCTAGGCTACAATGGCATGGACCACTTCCTCCCAGAAACATGTTCTGCAAATTCCTCACTCCTACTCCAGTCTAAAGAGTCAGTCCCACCTGAAGCTCTGGCCAGCGCTTCTCTCTGGGTCAGTGGGCTAGTGAGTTGCAGCCCAAGATCATTGACCAACAGAGAAATTTCCTGTTGAAAACTTTGGCCAAGACTAAGATATTATTATTTCCCATTAATATATTCATTATGCTGTGATCTCTTTTTAAAAGGGGAGATGAGGGAAAGGTGTGTGAAAATAAAGTATGACTTAAAAGAACCATTCATCTATCCCCAAAATGGTTTGAGAATAGAGGGGTGCGTCAAATGTGGAATGCTATCTGCGCCTCTTATTTACACCCCCAACACCCCCCCACCCCTA